CTGTACTGAGACTTGATTCACTGGCACTACTCATTTAAAAGCACATGAGATGAACAGTGTACATAAACATATATGCCCTTAAGTTTATATTTGTTTCTGACTCTGTGAGAAAACAGGGAAATTCCCCCCAGACTACTGTGTCTCTGGACTTTCTTTTAAATCAAATCAAACACATTTAATGGAATTCAATTTGTATGATTCCAAACCACAACATACACTATCTCAAGGGCTAGAGTTATAATGTGTAGACCCTTCAATATTATACAGGAACTCCACAGTTCCAACAAAGAGCATGAGCAGATTAACCAGAGGAAACCTCCAGAACCAGACTCAATCATCTGCCTCAACCAGTGGGGGTGACCAAGGACAAATGGGGGAGAGAAGAGAGAGAGCGAGAGGGGAAGAGAGGGGTAGAGAGAAGAGAGAGAGAGACCAGGAACAGTTGTGTCATCATCATATTTAAGCTTAGGTTGTTATAATGAAATTGGTTTATATCACCTGTTCTTCTTCTTGGTCTGTCAGTAAGTACATTTTTATATTTTTAAGTATATAGTGGCCACTTCTTTTTGTGGAACGTGATATTTCCATGTTATGTTACCAGTATCTAAAAGCTCAGTCTATATAGAAATGCATACAGCCCATATTCATAATTTTATATTTAGAGGTGTGGATTCAAACTGCCCGTGACCTCAGCACACGCTCACATTTAAACAGCACCTTTGCTCAGAGCCATCTCTGGAACTACATGCAGGTGAATCGATCCTCCTGCAGCCGGTCATGTTGAGGGAGGAGGAGGAAAAGTTTGGTTTGGAGACAGGGCCGTTCTTTATGCTAATGATCACATCACATGTCTGGAATGTGCCCCCTCTGCCATTCATCCTGTGGCTGACACGCTGGGAAATCAACCGCAGATGTGCTCAGACTGGAGGACACACGAGCACAAATCGGATTATTGAGAATGAGAATTTTGTATGTTTAGAGTGAACTAGCTGCCAGTGAAAACAGCTTCCTCCTCTGAGGGCGCTTCGCTCCACAAGAAACCAAGCTTACCACCTCACAGGACTGAGGGATCCATCATGATTATGACCTCATAACTGTCGCTGTGGAAAATATGCAGTCTTTTCAGTCATATATGTGTGTTTGTGTGTGTGTGTGTGTCCTAAAGGGATTCATCTGCAAGTCATGCACACTTTTCTCTACCTGGACACACACACACACTCACATACTTGCATCTGCAATACTAACTGACGCCATTCTCCGACATTGGATGCAAGAACGTACGCACATGCAAAGAGTCATGCACAAATAACAGGAATACATACACAGTCAGAGTCACATACACCTACACACAGCAAATCCCTGTAGAGCCTGTGAATGGGGTGGGGGGGGTTTCTGATTCATTGAGATTCATCATTCTGTCACATTATTAGAGAGATAGAGAACCTCAGTAATGAAGGCTGCTCCACGCCGTGATGCTACATATAGACCATCTGCATATAATCCACCATTAATAGAAGAATTCGGAGTATTTATCTCAGACCTTGTTTCTGATTCTGATCAGTATTCACCAGAATCAGGCCTGGTTCTTCCAAGTCTTTTCTGTCACTTCTCAACACTCATTGCATGGTAACACAAATTCTTTATAACATTTCATTCTTTGCAGAAGTAACAAGAGGAACTGTGTCTCTGTTAATAAACGTGGATCCACTTCCTCTCACTGTCCTGAAATGAAGCCAAAATATCTTGGATATAAACATGTGGTCAACCAATTGTCCAAGTCAGTCTCTGCTGTTATTAAGATGTTTGACCTCGATGACTTAATTTAAACCAAGCACAGTGGAGACATTAACACTTGAATACACCAGTGTGATCAAAATATTTAAAATGATAGAAACCATTGATGAGAAAAAATGAATTCAATATGTCCAATGACTCATCTGCTAACAAGGAGGAGATGGGGTTTACTGTAGTCAGGCGCTGATGAAGATGCTTTGGTATCTTGGAAGCAGTCATATATTGTCATTCTTTAAAAACAGTATATGTGTTTAACCTTCAATCTGCTTTCAAGGCCTTTGCACGAGACAGTTATTTTGTATAATATTTGAAATTCAAATGTTTTACAAAATCCTCCCTCGATAGGGAGAATAGTGCCGCCGTCATTTGTCATTTGTACTCCACACATCGTCATATCTATTTTCCTGTGGCTATAACTTTAGCTGTGACAGGGATTGTGACAGGCTGGCTGTTCTAACACCAAACAGATTAGTAACACTGGCCAAAATAGAGATAACCAACAGACCTTGTTCAGTGTATGTTGAAAAACAAGTCAAGCATTTCATTTCACCCCACCTCCTCCATGTAAGTGGATGGGATATGGACAAAACAAAGGTCAAAAAAACCTGCTAATTTTTGTTTTAAGAATTCTTGCCTTTACTTATTTGATGCTATAAAACAGGGTGAAATAATGTCATGATTGACAGTGGAGACCAACTCATGGTGGTCAAGCAGGTATTGGAGCAGGACTTTGCCACCACGGCTCTATCCACCCCCCTGCTCAGACTCTAGCTCTAACTGCGCAACATGGCAGCATTTGTATCCAGGATATTTTGGTTTAATTTCTGGCTAGTAGGAGGAAACGGAGACACTTTTACCAAGAATTGCAATGGTAACTACCTAAATGAACCTAAACTTAAACCTAGGTGAATACTAGCATATATCATTGGTTAGCATAACTGCAAAGTGTCTGTTGTGTCTAAATGATTTACTTAGTTGTTACACTCCAGGTTATGAGTCCATAAGTTTTATTTCATTAACCCAAACCTGTGCCTATTCCCAGCGCCACAGAAGCAGACAGTTCTGTTGACCTGCTGAAGTAGAAGTGACACTGGTTCTTAAATGTTGCTGCTGTGGAATGTTTTATATTCTGTGTTTCTCTACGTTGAGCGTCAAAAACTAAATTCCATTCACCTCCATTGCAGATATCTCAAAAACTAAACCAGAATCACTTACATGGCTGGATTCTAGCAGATAAGAAATAACACACAGCATGTTTTGTTGCTGTTGATTTCATTTTTTGTGTGTTTTGTTCTTATGAGCTAACCACTCTCTTGTCTTCTCCTCTCCTCTCCTGGCAGCTCTCATTGTTTTTCTCCTAATGCCTTTATTTTTTCTCTTCTCTGTCGTGACACCCTCAGGGTAGGACTCATAAAACATTAGAGCGCTGCTATTGTTTGTCACCTGCACCAACAAATAACTTCACCCCGGGAAACTAAATGTCAGTGGAACCTTCTAAACGTACTAATTCAGGCAGCGGAGGGCAATAAAACGTAATATGGCAGCATTTAGGACACCCTCCCACTGTCTCCCTCCATCCATCCTCTATGTAAATTGGCTGCTGGCCCCATCTTGTGGTCACAAAAGACCATAACACAGGCAGACACAACTGCATCAAAAGTTTCTGAAAATCCAAAACTTTATTCATCAAAGATTTATACAAATTGCAGATAATTACAAAATAAATACTCTCTTCATTTGTAAACTCTCCTCAAAGACTTTTAGTGGAAGTGTTCGTGTGTGGGTACAACAGCATATCCATATTTATTTATTTAGAAAAAGAATTTCAGTCACACTGTGCATTAGTCTGTGTTCTCCCCCTCTGTCTTGTCCTTTGTAATGGGAAACTCCAACGATGACCTGAACCGGATGGGCACTTGGTGCTCCTCGCTGATTGACTGCTTGGCCACAGGGGCATGGATTCGCAACTGTCCATCATCCATCAGGGAACAGGACAGGCCAGATAGATCCAGGTGAGCGGGCAGGTCGATCTTCTGGACGAACCCCAGCTGAGATGAGGCCGAAGAGCAGAAGGCGGCGCTGGAAGAGGAGGAGGAGCAGGTCTGGCTCTCCTCTGCCCCAGCCTGCTTCATGGCCACCACCGCTAGCCTGCGCCCCTCCAGTTTGACAGTGATGTCACTGGGGGCGTAACCACGTGCATCCAGGGTGACCAGGAGGTCACTGTTATTTTCTGAAGGCTGCTGTACTTGTTTCTGCAGCTCTGTGCTGGGAAGCTCTAGCTGTTCCTCTTTTCCATCATTCAGCCTGAAATATAAACAGGATCTTGATTAGAATCAACTTCATCATGTTTAATCTTTTACTCTTTCAATTTATCCTTAATTTTAATACATGGCATGTGTACTTATATCACTTAGATAGATAGATAGATAGATAGATAGATAGATAGATAGATAGATAGATAGATAGATAGATAGATAGATAGATAGATAGAAAGAAACAATGGGAACAGGTTACACCACAAAAACATTTCAGCACACAGACAAACACAAGACAGAGAGTAGAGCAAGAAAGAATCATAGCAAATAACATTGGGACCAGAGCTCAGTGGTTATAGGTATAAACTTTGCCCTGACACATCACACAAACATAAAGATACACTATTACATTACACACCCAGCCAAAGTGGAGGAAAGGAGGGGAAGCTGGCTCAGTCTGAGCAGGGGGTGCCCATCGTGGAGCTCCCTCAAGAGGCTGTCGGCCAGCTTGGCTCTCCGGTTGAAGAAGTCCTGCTGCAGCGAGGAAAGGGCCCCGTGATGGAGCGGCCACAGAAGCCGTTCCTGGCTGAAGAATGGGTCATCTGTGAACATGCTGTTCAAAGCACTGCGCTGGGACATCATGTCAGCGTTGGAGGAGCGTTCTTCTTGGCAAAACTTTGGTACAAGCAGACTGCGAGCGTTGTGTGTTGTTGTCTCCCTAATTCTCGTCTCCTTCTTCCAGACCTAATGTCTTCAGGCTCCAGTGAAGTGTGAAAACTTCAAATTTCCCACGTGTCTTCTTCTTGTTACTTGTCTCTCATGCAATGTTGGACATATACACATGACACTCTGCCTTATATACCCCAGTAGCTTTGCTCCCACCCACCCACCGTGTTATTTACACCCCATGAGCTCACTGCTTTTTGTCAGTGTGTGCCAGCGAGGTCAGGAATGCCCTGCAACTCATCAAAAGGCTAAAGACAGCTCATGGCCACATCCTTTTTGTGTGTGAGTGTCCACACTCTAGCCAGAAATGTCCTATTACTTATTCCTTCATTGCTAACTGTACCTCTCCCTAGTAACTAAATAATTGTAAGTGACCATGATGTTAAGCTTTGATTTAAGAGGAACCTAGTCCCATACCAAACCTTTTAAAATGTCTTTTTGTATCTGTCTTATGCCACATTCCATTATACCCCAAGCTCGGAAATGACCAATCCCTGAGTCGGAAGTTGCAACTGGACAGCCCCTCAATTCATAATTTCAACTCAGAAGGTCAGAGGAACCTCACCAACCCCAACTGCGAAATCCAAGATGGCCCCTCCGTATATCAACAGTAGTAAATGCTGGAGTTTTTACTGTTTATTAGCACTTCTGTCATTAAATGGGTAGTTCAATTACTGCCTGTAGATGTGTTACTACGGTGGTAGTTTATGTGAAATGCTGCATAATGTGTTATTATGAACTGTTTTTGTGAACAATGGCTAGCTGGCTAACGTAAACATTGTTTCTGTGCCACATGAACATTATCAGTTCTGGTTATTCAGGTGTGATGTCATTCCAAGGGCTGAGTTCCGAGGTGTAATGAAATGCGGCATTAGACTGTACATAAAGATGGTTGACATTACAGCACACCAAAAATTATGCCAATGCGTCTTGATCAACACCTCCCGTCTCCTGCACTTAAATGGATGGGATATATACGTGTCAAATGCATTTTTCTCAAAGATGGTTTCTGGTATTTTAGGTAGTTCTTAGCACACTTCTTCACACTGATGTCTTTATTTTTCTGGTAAGTTTGGTTATTTGATGCTATAAAAACAGGGAGAAACATTATGATTGACCGAGAGGCTGACTCACATTTGGTCGAGTGCATGGTGTCGATACTACGGCTCCATACCCCGATCACTCAGACTCTGTACAAAAGTCCTGGTTGGATTCATGCTCTCTTACCTCTTTTCATTGACGTGATACATACAGTTCCATTGTAGCATGTCTAAAACTTCCATTCTGTCTGAACCAAGGGCTTTACTTCAGTTTTTGTACAGATATACGATGTTGGTGAGTGAGGTTTCGATTTTTTAGTTTGGACAGAGCTTGACTAGCTGTTTCCCCCTAATCATAATGCTAAGCTGAGCTAACCAGCTGTTAGTGACAGCTTCATCTTAAATATAAGAGTGTTGTTGATTTCAACACAGTATTACACTGGCCAATGAGACACAAATGGAAATCTCCTTTTAGGCAGTTAATGAAATGTCATAGAAAACTGAGTGTTGACATACTGTATACTGGAGGTTAAAACCAGTGGGAAGAGTATTTAAAACGTATTGACGTTATTTTGTAATCGTAATGGCTCACAAATCTGCCTCTTCATTGTTTCTAGGCAAACCAGAGATGTGTGTACACGTTTCCTTGGATGGACAAGAACATGAGCAGCTGTTCGTCACTGAGCATGTCGACCCGGAGTGTAAACAAAGCCTGTCTTGTCTCAGGTTACAGTTCTTCATCACTGCTTCTTCCAGAGATGAGCTCAGAGGCCAAACATTCTGTCTACATATGTGTGTGTGTGTGTGTTAAGCCAGTGTGCTGAAATTACGAGGAGCCTGTGTCACGTCTATTTGTGGCTGTCAAGGAACCATATTAAAAATCTGCTTCCATATCATTGGCTCAAACTGTGAGCTGGCTCATATGTGATTGGCTGAGAACAGCTGCCTCAGAGTGGTATTCGCCACTTCTGCTTGTAACAGTGGACTGAGACAAAAAAATAAAAAATGAGTCTTATCATAAATATCTCTATTTATATGTTCCTATAGCCTTTGTGTTTTATTAAGTTAAACACTGGAGTAAATAGGCATGTAATGGACCGTCTTGTCAATTTGGGAAAAGTTTGAAGTTGGATGTTTTAAGACATCAACTGTCATCTTTGAGTCATCAGAGCGGTAAGTCCACTGCAAAAAATAAAGATGTGTGTCAGTGAACTAGCAGACAGAAATAGAAAAGAAAGATTCATGGCTGCCTTTCCCTCAGCTGTAAATCGCTGGTTTATTATTACACCACCCATCTCAGTTTGGTGGTTATTTATGGCTGCTGAAATCAACCCTGGTCATATTGGTTAAGTGTTAATTGGGTTGCTATATTTCTATAATAGTTTGATCATATTTTTTTGATCGCCTTTCAAAATGAAAGACACTACTGATCAAACACTCAATTGATGTAGTAAATAGCAGTGGAAGGATTTCTTGAGTCTGATATAAGATGATCACTCTCATGTCTCTTTTTTGATATCAGTTTATTTTCTGACAACCTCAAAAGAAATAAATAATGTATTTCAAACTGTAGGATTACAGATACGTATATCTGTATACTGTATTAGTATATTTAAAAACCAACTGAATCCCTTTTTAGTGACAGATCTAAGAATTGAAAATGTTGAAAATGTGATCTATGCATTGTAGTTATAGTTACTGTAAAAAAATTACATTACATTTCATTAAGATGACACTTTTATCCAAAGTAACTAACAATAAGTGCATCAACCATCAGGGAACAAACCCAGAACAACATGAATCAAGTAAATACAATTTGCTTCAAAAAAGCCAAACTACAAAATGCAACAATATAAGTGCAAGAAATATATATTATACATATATTATTTTTATTTCTCTATTTTTGGGAGTGATTATACATTACTTTCTTAACCAAGGTGTATTCAGAAGAGATGTGTCTTTAGTCTGTGGCAGAAAATGTGAACACTTCCTGCTGTATTTCAATTTTCGGACAAAATTAGCATTGTTTTACATGTTTCGTCGAATTGCAGCGAACAATCTGTAAAACTATGACAAGAAAATGTTATTTTATGTGCCAATCATAAAAGACAGGGTATAACTGTATTGTATTTGAACATTACAGAGCTCTACCATTTTTTATCTGCTGCTGGTTGCCAGATTGGAACTGTGGGGATTTTGAACAGTGCATATAACAAACCTTAGAGTCTAGATAGTAACTGACTGTTCTTACACGTTGCAACTTTCCCTCAATGCACCAAACATCAACAGCTTGGTCATCATTCGGCTTTATTGCTTTAAGTGCCTCAACTATACATCCACACTATTTTACAAACTCTCATTTCATCTAAAAGATAATGGTTATTTTTTTTCAAGAAGAAATAATCAAATATAGTGAGTGAAGAAAACTCTACAATAACTGAAAATGGAAAATTCGGTGGGGCAGACATGGGTGAAGCTTTTTTGTCTTAATCCAAGAATGTTGTAAAAGTGTATAATTTAATAATGTATACAGAGTATCAGTCCAGCACCATTCAACATTTGGATAAAATGTTTTACTGGCAATTTTCATTTCAATTTGGCAAAATCTTGTGTCTGTTTCAGTCAGTTTGACCTAAATGTTCATATTAAAATCTTCATTTTCTCCATTAACGTCCAGTTTGTAAAAATGACTAACATCTACATAGACATTCTCGTCAACGTCTTCTTCCTGATCTTTTCTGTTGTGCTCTACACTGACACAGACCACCTTGGACTTCAAATGTTTACTGGGGTCCAATTCATCATAATGAGGATCTTCATCACTCTCTGGCTTCTCATAAGTATCATCTGCCACTTTGCCCACTATCTCCTTGTTAATGTTTTCTAAATCAAAGTTGATATAGTCGTGGTTCTTGTCATCTTCAAACTTGTTCCTGGCCTTGACGGACACTGAAATGCAAGCGTCACACACAGAACATGAATACATATAAAAGCATTTTGATCAAAGTCTGAATCTGAAACAAGGGCAGGTGTGTTGTGGTGGGTACAGACATTGACTTAAGATGAGGGCTCCTGGCTGCTTGGCCTTTCCTCTTCTTCCCCTGTAGACCAGACCAACCACCAGGACCAGCAGGAGCAGCAGCAGGATCCCTCCTGCTATTGATGAGACCAGCAGCGACAAAGGCACTAAGAGAGAAAACAGTTTATCCTTCAGAACATATCTCATTTTCTGAAAATGTACTGCTACTTTCAAAGTTGGGATCCAGTTGAATCCAAACAGTTCTCACAATGAGCAAACACTTGGCGACTAAGATGGCATAGTACTTAAACTTTACTTTCTTTCATTTCATCATTTATCCTACGCCCTTGTACTTTTGTACTCCACTGCATTTGTGTGATAGCCTTGCTGGTTACTTTACATTTTTCCTTTACATACAAAACTCGGAAGTGATGCATTCAAGATAAATATGGTTAGCTTTTGACAATTACATGTCAATAAAATTACATTAAACATAATTTAGAAAATCACTATCCCTATATCATATATCAAACTAAATTTAAAATACATATAATTTATAATTTTGAGGTCTGACTCGTGTGATGAGCATTTACTGTTTCTTTAAGTTTTATGAACCAAACAACTGGTTGGTGGAGTAAGTAATCTGCAGACTAATCTAATCTGACACTGAAAATATAGTTATCTTGATCTAATAATATAACACTCCTCGGGTGCAGTTTTCTGTGTTGAATACTTATGCGTCTGTTATTTGTGTTTTATGGTTTATTTATGTTTCTTACCTGTGACAGAGAGTCTCACAGAGTTACTCAGAGTGGAGCTGATGTTCATTTTCTCATACCAACACAGGTACAGTCCCCCATCAGCAAACCCTACTTTAGGAATGCTGAAGGTGGCAGAGTTGGTGCTTAAGGTTTGTATCTTTTTGAATGAGCCCAGGGTATTAAACAGGATGAAACTTCCACCTAAAAATTGAGTTGAGATCGAACATGTGATGCGAACGTCCTGACCCCAGGTGACCTCACCAATAGGGTTCATGGAGAGGCTGGGCTTGGGGAAATTCACTGGAAAAAAGCAATACAATATTACAGCCTTACTTACTTTGCTTCTAATGATTTACACAAGCAAAGGAGACAGGGAAATCTGAATTATGTTTTCTTACCAGTAACAGAGAGTCTGACAGAGTCACTTAAGCTGGATCTGTAAGTTTCATCTGCAATTTTTCTCTCATACTGACACTGATACAATCCCTCATGATCAAAGTCCACGTTATAGATCCTGAATGTAGCAATGTTGGAATCTGAGCTCTCCGTCCCAGTGAAGGAGCCCGGACTCTTCTTCAGAATATATGCTCCACCTGAAAGCTCAGGTGAGCTTGAACAGGTGATACTGACATTCTGACCCCAGCTGACCACAACAGAAGGATTCACTGAGATGCTGGGCTTCGGGAGGGTTGCTGGAAAAAACAAAAGGAAAACACAATAATCAGATTTAGACACAGCTCTCAGAGTTTTAGATCACAATTCTTCTCCAACCCTATCTCTAAAGGGATGTACTGAAAGGATTTGAAATTTTCAAGTAATAATATTGTGATCGAATGTTTATGAAGATGGACATGACAGCTGCCTTAATTGAACCAAAGAAACCTGATCACCACATGCCCACCTCCTCCATGTTAGCTGATTGAAAATGGATCAAATTAGTATGTGAAAATACATTTGATTTTTTATAGATGGATTAAGTCATTTTACGTAGTTTTTGTCGTACTTAGGTTTGGTTGTTTTAGTTGTTTGATGATATAAAAAGAGAAATAGAGAACCTTAATGAATGACAGCTGAGACTGACTCATGATTGGTTGAGCCTGTTTATTGGCTCTGCTCCTCGATCACTACTGCACAGACTTACATATCCGGGACATACAGTCAGTGCAAATTGTTTCTATTTATATTTCAGGAGGGACAATTGATCATATTTCAGATACAGTGTTTCGTGTAGGAATCATTACACAATATTTCCTGTTGAACAAGATTCTTAAAATGAATTTACACATTTACAATAATACTTTTACAATTTTGAGAACTGCTGGATTTTGTCCATCATCAACAGTGCCACCTCCTGGTACGGATGTGTCACAGTTGTGACCCTCAGTATGTCTGTTTGATATTGTATTCACACCATATCAACTTGTTGTAAAAAGTATAATTTTCTTTGCTGCCATATGTTGGGGCAGCAGCATCAGAACCAGTGATTTAAAAACTCAACAAGCTGATTGAGAAGGCTGCCTCTGTGCTGGAGGCCGGTGGTGGAGAGGACACGGATGTTGCACAAATCATATAATGTCCAAAATCTCACATCCTTTGCACATCTACTAGTGAAACAACAGTGGGTTCTCCCACTGAGTTGCAAAAAAGACAGATACAGAAATACTATTTTACCCTGGCAATTGCACTTTATAATGACTCCCTTCTGAGCAGAGGCAGGTGAATCATCTGTTGAGATGCATGCAAACATTTTACCTTCATATTTGCACATACTTTGGACATACTTTACCAGTGCACCCACCCTAGTTTGTGTTTTGTGGTTTATGTGTATGAGTCGATCTATCTATCAGATACTGGATGTGATTCAAAATTCTCCTCACCTGAGCAGACAACACCAGCATCCTCATTATGTGAACAGTCATGGTTCCCAAATCCACTGTGCCGACACTGAGTTAGAGACCCTTCACTTCCTGAACAGTCCACGTCATCAAGCCAGATATTCCTGCTTCTACCTGCTCGACCAAAAAGGGTTTCTACTGTGGCGGCCACCGCTGTGCCACAGTCGAGGTGTCTGCAAACCACCTCAGTGTCATTCAAGTCCCAGGAGTCGTCGCACACTGTTCCCCAGGTGCCGTTGTGATAAATTTCAACCTTTCCAGAGCAACGAGTGTAGCCAGTCAGTCTTATTGCTAAACAAGAGGCAAAGAATTGAAAACAGAATGTGTTCATCATCATGAGTTCAAATGTTATCATTCAATTACATGTGTGTATCAACAAACAACTATAACTACATAAAAACCTAATTCAAATCTCAAAGATATGGGAGGTGATTTAAAATGCTCCTCACCTGAACAGACAACACCAGCATCCTCATCGTGTGAGCAGTCATTCTTCCCAAATGTTTTGTGCTTACAGTCACTTAGAGACCTTTCACTGCCCGAGCAGTCCACATCATCCAGCCAGATATTGCCAGTTCCTTCACCAAAACGGGCCGCTCTAGGGGCCCTCAGATTCATACCACAGCCCAGTTGTTGGCATACCACCTTAGCATCATTCATGTCCCAGTTGTCATCACATATTGTTCCCCAGGTGTTGTTGTGATAGATTTCAACTCTTCCMGAGCACCGAGTGGATCCAGAGCCAGCTAATCGGATCTGAAAACCTATCAGGCACAAGGCATTACAAACAGCATGTTAATATTTTGCTCAACACTAAAATAAGGTTTTATACGACACAGGAGAGTAAACCTACCTTTAGCAGGTGAAGTTAGGGTGAACAGAAAGGAGACTGTAGGAGGGAAAAATGCTTTTTCTTAATACAGTGAACTGAAAAGTGCTGAAAGGTTTCGGATTCAGATTTCTATTTTATTAAACATTCAGTTATAACTAGAATGGTACATAAACCAAACTGTCCCCTCATGAAACCATTTTAAATTCAACCTGCATTATTATTAATTATTCAGTGAGACATCAATGCCACATTTTTACACCACGTTTTGTGTAATCTTGGTTACAAAAACCAAAAGGATGGGGGTGAAAACATAACCTCCTTGACGAATTTAATGAAAACCAAGTATCTCAGTGTCTCTCTATGTGTACTCTCAAAAAGGAGACATGAAAGAGAAAACTGCTTCAAGATCTATATTGAAAATGTATCTTACCAACAATCGAAAAGTACTGTCTGCTCTTCATGGTTCGTGAGAAAAGCTGCTCTGCCTCGTTTATCAGCAACAAAACAGAAGACTGAGGATTTCCTGGACCACTCGTCTTTGTATCTCTTTCTTACTTGGAACAAAAACAACAGAACATTCACCAAACCCCTCCCACAAACAGGAATTCTACTATAGCTATTTCTTTCTGTATATTATTTATCAGATCTAATTTCCGTTCACCAGCAGCCATACAAGGCTCCATATAGAAGCAACCCAGTATCAGTTTGCAAAGTGAAAAGAAAACCTTGCTCATGACTTGTGTATAACATGTTTAGATTCTTTAGACTGTCCTGGATGCCTCTGTGTCACACATGCATTAGGTTCCTTCTGTTATTTCGACTTGGTTACATATGAGAGTGACTATTTAAGTCTTGTCATGTTCAGAACACTATGAAATAAAATAAAAAAATACAACTGTAT